TGTTTGCGATTCTAGACTAATGAAGTCATCGTCTTCTACTTTTAGATACGAAACACATTCTTATCTAGTTCTTTATTTGCTTTTAGTTATTGTTTCCCTTATCATATTTCATGTTTTTTCTCTCTTTTCTTTGAAGATAACTAGTTCAGTCTCAAGGTAGAAGACAATGAATAGCGTCTTCTTTTGAAGGGTAGTTTTGACATTTTCAATAGATAACTAATGGTCGGTTAACAATAGGGACCAACTTGACACTTTTTGAAAATTTAGGTAGTGTAGTAACACGTTTGAAACTTCGGGTACTAACTTGACACTACCCCCAAAGTGTAGGGTACTAAAGTGGAATTTTCCCTATATTAGTTCCAATTATATCCCTTCATTTTTTATTCCAACCTATGGCAATTCTTTCGTCTGATGCACCAAATAATCATGCCTCAGCTTGTTCATTTTCATTCTTTAAAGAAACTTTGTATGAGCAACACATAGAGTTTTTTAAAGAATGAGCATAGGGCACTTAGCCGTCTGAAAAATTCATTTTTTAGGAAAAAGTGTTTGGTTCATAGCAATACTTTCTCATTCCATTCTTTAAAGAAACTTTGTATAACCAACAACATAGAGTTTTTTTGAAGAATGAACATAGGGCACTTAGCAGTATGAAAAATTCATTTTTTTAGGAAAAAAAAAGTGTTGGTTCATAGCAATATTTTCTCATTCTATCCATTTTAACTCATTCTTGTCTATTTTAGGGTTTTATCTTAGGTGAGAATGAGAGTTGAACCAAACATGACTTAAAAGGCTATATTTGGAAAACTTTCAAAGAATTAATTTTTGAGGTTGTATTTGATTTGAAGAAAAGGTTGGGAAAGATAGAGAAATCTATACAAGGTTTATACAAGTTTCCCTTCCTTTACCTTTACTTTGAAACCAAACATAGCCAACCAAAAGTTAAGTGATCCTAGTAACCACTTTTAAGCTTGGATTCATAAACACCATTAAAGATAATCGTTTTTATAGGCTACAACTCATTATAAGAATTGATTCTTTAAAATTAAAAAAAAAAATCATTTTGACTCAAATTTCATTTTCCAAATAGTAATAATTCAGAATTTTAACCAAACAGCCTTAAAATGCTTCGATGAACAAAAGTCATTCTACATCCAAAAACAATTCCTTTTTATACGCTCATAACTCATTCTAAGAATCAGTATTGGTTGTTGCACACTCACATTGAATCAGTACTGGCCCAAAAACAATTCGAATCCCCTCTCATTCAAATCTGATCCAATTCGTTTGCAACCCTACTTCCTTAAAAACCGAACCAAAACCGAATTATAGAAAACCCAAAACCAAAACTTCTGGTTTGGTTTTCAGTTATTTTGGTTAAAACCAAATTTTAATAATATATATTTTATTATATATTATAAATATAATATATATTATGAAATCAAATTTTATTATATTAAATATTAATATATAAATATATAATATATTATATACTTTATGTTACATATTATATATTATAGGGCAAAGTTCTTAAATTACCCCTACTGTTTAGTTAATTGACTAATTATACCCTTACTGTTTATATATTGTCTTAAAGTACCCTTAAATTTTCTAACAATTGTCTAAAACTTCCCTTATCGTTAACTTTCTGTCACATTTAGTTCACATGTGACATCACGTGACTGGTATTTTTTTCAAAATTCCTAAAATACGCTTCTTGTGACCAATTTAATGCCCTCCCGAAAATCGGTTCAACAAAACTGGTAACTACTTTGTTAAATATCTCTCTCTCTTTCTCTCTCTCTCTCTACAAAGGGAATGTTCCCCATCACAAATGCCGGAGCCAAAAAGCCTCTGGTTTGCGTTTTGAAAACCCAGTATAGAGGTGTCAAAGTAGAATGCTGCATGTGCTCTACTCGGCCTCTCATTAATCAAAGAAAACAAGGTTTCAATCGGTGCTTGCCGAGTGATCTCACTTTTGGTTTCTTTGCTCCTGAATGGATCAAATCGAGGGAAGAAAGATGCGCTCACAACACTCTACAAGTTCTGTTCTATGAAATAGAACAAAGATGTTGGGGCCTCACAACAATCACCCACAATATAAAATCATAAGGTATTTGAAATAACAAACACAAGGAATCTAATAGCAGCAAAAAGACGAAATCCAAGCAAAAACAAATAAAACAAGCACCACAAAGAACACAAAGATTTATGTGATTTGGCCTTATCGTCTACGTCCACGGGAGAAACAAAATTTGTTCTTCACTATGAAAGAAAACTAAGAACAATTACCTTGCGGCTTGCAGTCCAAACCAACCCTTACCCTTGTACACCCGTTTTCCCTTTCCTCTCAACCTGAAAAACAAAAACAAGAGAAAAAACCTACTCTCACAACAAGAACATTCTTTATTTTTCTCTGCACCTTTTTTCCCCCAAAAAAACTATAACCCTACATACAAAAGAAAGCTTTTAAACCATACCAACAAAAAGTGGCCTTAATGCAAGAGCCACGAAATCGTTAGGACTTAATTTCAGAGTAGGGGAGCAATTTGACGGAAAAGACGATGGTGGTTCTGAGAAGCTTAGCTACAAGTAGGGAAGAACATAAAAGAAAACGTCCAATAGGAAACCACACTCTGGATGCCACAAACCAACCCCATTCAAAGCATACCCTACAAGAGAACCACAAGAACCTATAGATCTCCCACTTGATCAAATAGAGACCACTAACAGAATCAACAACAAGCAAGGAACAAAAAATAAACTATGGCACAAGAAAGATCTAATAATGCGATAGATAATAAATTAAAAAAAAATTGTAAATGGAAAGCTCAAGCTCAAGCTCAAGCTCCATTGGCAATACTTGGTAATGGAGTAATCTAGGCTTTTCGAATCTCCAAAACCAGCGTACTTAGCTCAGGTTCAATCAATGCTGCTAAGAATCTTTCTGGAGCTGAGCCAGAGAGAGAGAGAGGAGGTGAATCATGGCTAGATTTAGAGGAGGCTCGCCAACTAATACTTAGCTGTGATGTAGTGATTTTCTCAGTGGTTGTGCGGCTACAATTCCAGAGGGCAAAACCGCCATAGTCAAAGGAGGAATTGCAGTTTTGGTTGAAGCGATCGAAGATGGATCGGTGAAAGGGAAAGATTTTGCAATACCGACGCTTCTCCGACTATGTGCAGGCAGTGTACGGAACAGAATGTTAGAAACATAAAGCCTTTGGTTTACGTTTTGAAAACCGGTATAGAAGTGTCAAAGCAAAACGCAACATGTTCTCTACTCAGCCTCTCATTAATCGAAGACAACAAGGTTTCAATTGGTTCTTGCGAAGTGATCCCGCCATTGGTTTCTTTTCTCCTGAATGGATCAAATCACAAACGATAGCTATTGCAGTTACCTCTGCAACACCGGCAAAAGAACAAGAGGCAGGGGATCGATGGATGGTTGTGGGAGTCCGAAAATGATGAAAAGAAGGATAAGAGTGACGGTGGAGGAAGTAGGGGTCGAAAGACGGACGAGATGTACACCGGAGGTGGGTGAGAACGTTGAGAAAGTACTGCCGCCGCTGTGGCTTCTCTGTTGTCATTGAGAAAACAATGAACGATGGCTAGACGAAGGGAGAAAGAAGAATGTAAAGGAAGAGGGTGAGAAAGAGTGATAGATAGAATGGGAGGAATGAAAGAGATCTGTAGGGAAGGGAAAGGGAGATAGAGGTAGAGACGAGACAGAGATTGCCGGGTTTGAAAGGTTAGGGTTTTGATGAACCACCGTTTCTTTTCCTTTTTTTTTGATTTATTTTGAAAATTTGAAGAAGAATAAAGGGTAAAATAGCTTTTTTATGTTTTCCTGTTAAGAGTACAATTAGACCCCGTTTGGCAAGTCTTTTTGAGAAGATCTTCTCGTAACTGAGAGTCAATAGATGCATTGAGCTTTTGACATAAGATTTGGGCAACCTGAAGATCGTTTGGCAGACATGCATCTTTCCGTGCATCGTTTCGGATCTTTCTGCGTGAGATTAAAACCCGGAAGACGCATGAAATTTCACTTGGAGCTTTCCGAAATCAACCCAAAATGGGTTTTCTGTGTTTTTTCAGTGCCTCATCTTTTGGTGACGAGATCTTTCACATGCCAAACGGGAATAGACCAATTTTCGGTCTTCCCAGCTTGTAAGTAGAAGAAAGACCGCATGGAACGAGGCTTTAGTCAATTAGCTAAACCATAAGGGTAATTTAAAAAATTTACCCTATATTATATATTATATATAATAATAAAAAGTTTGATTAATTTGGATTAATCAAATTTTTAAGAGAGAATGACTGATTAGCCCAACTAAAAATTCTTTAGCCCCATTATACAGGGAGATGAATCTTGACCATGAGTTGATGCCAAATCCACGGACAGGATGTGGTTTATAAGGGGGGCTACTAAATAAACTATGGGGGCTCTAATTCAAAATTCTGCAATAAATTGTAGAGTACTTTTCCCAATTTTTAATTCTAAAAACTGAAACCAAAAACCAAATTAGTAAAAAATTAAATTAACCAAACCAATTTAATGAAAAACCAAAAAAGACCGAATTGAATAAACCCAAACCAAAATTTCTTATTCGATTTGAACCGAATAGTGCTCACCCTACCTGCACCGTAGTCCGTAGACCCCTACCCGCTGGTTGATCTTCTAAGGAAAATTTAGCCAAACACAAACCTAAAATACTTGGCGACAAGCCAGTCTAGAACCAAACAAGCATGTCTCGGGAAAAGCAACGATTCCCTACATAAAAAGAGAGAAAGGTGGAGGTCGGGTAGCCACAGCTTTTAACAACCCGGGCCCCTAACACGTGCCCTCCTCCTTTCCTGGATACCCACAAAACGTGCAATATACTCGCATCGAAAATATCAACCGAGATTCTATTTTGTGTTTGTTTCCAATAACCCAAACAATCTTTATTTTCTTCCTACATCGTCCATCTTCATCTCACCCATCGATCAGGATGGATTTCTATTGTCCCACGCCCACGGAGGACTGAACCGAACCTGGTCAGAAGAGGTAGCCAAATTCATGATCGCGTGAATTGATTTTGTCACATAATACCATGATTCATGACTACATCTGAAATGGCCAAAATTGATGATTAAATTGCTTTTTGAAAAGGTGATAACAACTACTACTGCACAATCACTGATTCTTTGTGCATTCTAAAAAGGTGTGAGAGGGTTTCTCGTCTCTGAGCGAGTTAGCCTAGTCGGATCAATTTCAATTCGATTCAGGGGGGTTGATTCTCTCCGTTGTCTTCGATCCTCTCTTCTGGTAAGCTCTCGTCCTCCTCATTTTCACCGGCTCTGTAGGTTTTGATGTTATAGAAAAGGTTAGGGTTTTCGCCTGTCTTTTAGATCGTCCTCACAGTTCACACTCTCTGACTTCTGAATATTGGTAGTGAACTTCACTTTTAAGGATTGACCAATTGAAGTCCATCTAGTTCATCCGCCAGAACTACATGAATGGATTTTAGTTGTGTTTCCACCCCATTCTTATTTTCTCTTCCAATTGATTGATTAACTGCTTTCTAGCTAACTAAGTCTAGCTAGAATCGAAACTCTATTAAATTGGAATAATTGTTGGAGAGTTTATCTGAGCTTCTTTGCTGACCCTGTGTGTCATTTGGGTGGGTCATAGAAAGGCAATTAGTGACAGAACGTTCATATAGGATGAAGTAAAGGTAGAACATTTCTTTAGTTTATGTTTGGTTTAACAGAAAATAAGAGAGAAACAAAAAGTTGAGGGAAGGTTGTTTAACAATTTTTTTTTAGTATTTATTAAGATCTTTCCCTCGACTTTCTGTTTCTCTCTTATTTTTTATCAAACCAAAAACAGCCTTAATGACTCCAAGAGCTGATAAATAATCGACTTTAAAATTTGCTGGACTCGAATATTTTGGAGAAATTTCAAGTTAATTTCTAAGCAACGGGGTTGACATTTCTTTGTTTGCGAACAAAAAGCAGAGAAATCGGGCTTGGTTGAGCATGGCTGAAGCTGCAACAGTTGTTCCCGGTGATAATGCTTTGGAATGGGCACAGAAGGATAAGCGCCGTTTCCTTCATGTTGTGTATCGAGTCGGCGATCTTGATCGTACCATTAAGTATTGCTTTTTCAACTTGGAACTTATTGTTTTATGTGATGTTGATACCGACAAATGACGTGTTTCCACCATCATAGATGACTCGTTCGCATGCTAATATGTTGATCAGGTTTTACACAGAATGCTTTGGCATGCAACTCTTGAGGAAAAGGGACATTCCGGAGGAAAAATACTCCAATGCATTTCTTGGGTTCGGCCCTGAAGATTCCCATTTTGTAGTAGAATTGACATACAGTATGTTAATAAGCTATCATCCTTAATTGGAGCATTTCTTTATATTCTTAATTTATATATCCTTAATATTATTTTGTATAACCAATTGTTCTATGTTTATCCAACCATCTCTTCTTGGTTATGCCACATGGTTTATGTGGGTCAATGTAGTCCATCTCGTAGACCTTATTTAAGAAATAATGGTGCTAAATTATTGGGACTAAATTCTCTAACCATCCAAAAGAAGGACTTCTATTCTACTGTTAAGTTGTTGAGTCAAAATGAATTTGCCTTTTCAGCGGTCTCAAAGTCAATTTTTTCCTTCTTTTTGGAATCATCTTGGTTGTCCTTGTTACTTGGATATGGAATATCGATCCATTTAAGGGTCATATGACATTGTTACCAAGATGACAGAGCAAACAATAACATGGAGAATGATAATACTGTTAGCATCTATTTCTCTTTTCTGCATTATTATCTTGTTGGCTTGTATTTTTCTATGTTCTTATGCATTTACTTTTTGTGCTGATTTACAGACTATGGAGTAGACAAGTATGATATTGGAACTGGCTTTGGACATTTTGCAATTGCAACTCAAGATGTGTGTATCTTTTTATTCTTTTAATTTTTAAAGGCATGATTTTCTTAGCATATTGTCAAATGTAAACTTCTAAATTATGGACTCCAGGTCTACAAATTGGTTGAAGACATACGGGCCAAGGGTGGCAATATCACACGTGAACCTGGTCCTGTTAAAGGTGGGAATACAGTAATTGCTTTCGTGAAGGACCCAGATGGTTATACTTTTGAGCTCATTCAAAGAGGCCCAACTCCTGAACCATTGTGTCAGGTTATGCTTCGCGTTGGAGATCTAGATCGCTCCATCAAGTTTTATGAAAAGGTAATGTTTTCCGGTGTTAGTATTATTTAACTCTTCCTTCATGTTAGTTCAATTTTAGTTTATTCTTATTGCATATAGGGCTGCAAATGGTATCCATTTGTCAGAATCTAGATTCAAATTTATCAGGTTAAGGGTGATTTGACATTAATCTGTTTATACTTGGACCGAATATGGATCCACCCCTATCAAACCCTATATAATCTGATTCTATCATATTTAAGTATATATGCTCATATCTACATAAAATTTTATGCTGCACCTATTAATAAAGTTAATTCAATTGTTGTATATTTTGCTAAAGAATCAAAGGTTTAAAACTATAAATCTCATAGAAGTTATTTTCAATTCATTTTGTTCATGGTATACAATAAAAACACCATTTTAAGTTGAGCTTATTATTAATGCATAACTTTTGATCATTTTTAATTTGATTCATTAACTGCATTCAATAACTGATTACAACCAAATCCAATTCAGATCCAATCCAAATCTGATGGATAATATTAGATTTGATACCAAATATTAATGAATACTTCAAATGGTTTTGTAACATCACACAGATGCTCATATTCCTCTATGAACAGAGATGGAAAGCTCTTGGTGCATAGTTTATGGCTCTTTGATGTGAAATTCAGCAACTTTTTTTTTTATTATTTTAAAACACCATATAGCACAATCTGTAGATGTTCTAAAGAAACAAAAGGAAAAAAGATAGGAACAGAGTTATCATCTGAACTCAAAAAATCTCCTTCGACTTGCACTATCTTTAACAGATTCATTAATATTGATTCATATTTCATTCAGCAACTCCAACTGCTTCTTTGTCTGGTTGGTTGAGGCATTATCTCTCCTTGTGGGAGATCTTGGGTTCAATCTGTAAGCAAGGCAGGATTTCACTGTTCCTGTATTTCCATGCATGATGCATCAAAGCCAAGTAGCCTGTTTCAACAGCATTGATTTGGCCACACTTCGTAGGCACTTCCCCATACAGTCTTGCAATATTAGAAACTACTTACCTAATAAAGAAGAAAAAACATCCAGCAGCCAGTTGGAAGCTTACATTCATTGTAGTCTACCTCCAGTTAGTCTGGGGAAGAAATAAAAATTAAGTGAAATAAAATCCACTTAATTCAATATTTGGATAGAGATGAATAAAACTTCCCCAATTACTTGAAACATTTAAGACATTACAGAATGAACTAAATTCAGGGAACATCATACAAGATGCCAGAGATAATCATGACAAATGAAAAGAAAGGACATATTGTTCTTTCTGCAAATAAATCAAGTACAAATTATATGGTATTCATTATGAAGTCATGTGAAAGAAAAGAGATGAAAATAGAATAACTTACATAGCATTGAGAAGTGAATCAACTATGCTGTTTGCAAATTTGACAGTCTAGAAGCTATGATACTTGGGTACCTGTATAAGGGTGCCATATTTTGTCAGATACTGCAATTTTAAGTGTAAACTTCATATCCCACTGTGTCTATGCTATGCCGTATCTGGGTAGCATAGTCTACAGGACTTTTGAATCTATTTGTTGGTCGTTAGTCATTACATGTTATAATATACTAATGGTTGATAGCTATGGTTGTATGAACATCCACATTTATATTGTATCTTAGAAGCAATTTATCTGCTTCTAAGAAACCATTATTTGGTAATATTAGCTATGTTGTTTGATATTATTTTCTCTTTGCTTGCTCTACCTCTTTGCAGGCATTGGGTATGAAACTACTAAAGAAGACTGATAGACCTGAACAGAAGGTGAGTTTGAAGCCATATTATTTATCTGGATCTGCCCAAATACTCAGACACGAAACCTCCTTAAGCACAAAATTTTGACACATCTCACGTGCACCTTAATTCAGAACCACTACGCAACCCAACTTAATGTTTCCATTACCTAAAATCAACATTCAGATTATCTGTCACATTCTGATTTCTATATATTTTTTTATTTGTGTTGTTTTAATTCTTTGACATACATCCATACAGAGGAATAAAATTGTTTAGATCATTGGTTTTTTTTTCTTTTTGTTCTCTAGATCACTTTCTCTTGTCTAGGACCCCTTAAAGGTTGGGTTTTGATCTATCTAGATGCACCAAATGTCCATATTTTGTACATATTATTGCTTAGGACAGGTTGGGTGCTTAGATTAGGTCATATAATGGAGCTGCAAAAATATTTTTTGGTCATCAAAATGATAATATTTAGATGGGTGAGTGCCATGATTTGCTTGCATGGTTCTGAACTAAACTTGACCATGTGCAATCCCTTTAAGAACCTGAAGTTTACCTGGATAGCTATAATCAAGTGGTGTAGATATTCCTATGGTTTCTGTTTTGCATCCAATCCCAGTCTAGCTTGCATCCTCTCCACATCTGAACCATTTTATCCCCTAGATCAGTTCCATGTTTCCCTTGGTTATCTTTGAGGTTCATCCTTCTCATCAATTTCTTGTCCTGCATGTTCTGTACAGTATACTATTGCAATGATGGGATATGCAGATGAATACGAGACAACTGTTCTGGAGTTGACTTATAATTATGGTGTGACTGAGTACACCAAAGGAACTGCATATGCACAGGTGAGTTAATAACTTTTTGATGTACTTTTTGGTAAATTTCCACCCATTTGAAATCAAAAATTTTTCTGATATTTGAAATGTACATTCCTAGGTTGCTATTAGTACTGAGGATGTATATAAAAGTGGCGAGGTTATTAACTTGGTTACCCAAGAGCTAGGAGGGAAGATAACTCGACAACCAGGACCCCTCCCTGGTATCAACACCAAGATTACCTCTTTCCTTGATCCTGATGGCTGGAAAACGGTGAGCCTCTTTTTAATTAAGTCTTTTTCTTTTTTATTTATTATGTATTTATACTTATAATACATGGATTAATTTATGCTTTCTGACTTTAACTTGATTCATAACACCTGTAAGATCACCGTGCATCAATGTACAACACACCTGCTGTAGTAATTCATTGGGATGAACTTTTCTGTGGCTGCCATTGAAAATTTCCTTTCCATATATGCCCCAGAATAAGTGGTAAATAGAAAAGTGGCATGGTATCCCTCATTAGAGAAACTATGACAAGCCAGATACAAGACTACCATCAGATCAATAATTGAATTCTCACCATCTAATTTTTTGGCACATTTTTTTGCTTTCTTGGTTCCTCTTTGTAAGCAGTAGTTGAAAGACTTGGTCAATCAATATGCTGAATATACCTGAAACCGGACACCCATAACCTTTGAGTGATGAGTTTTTACACCTTAGACCCTGTTGACCAGTTAATATTACCCACGCTTTTTTCTGTCCAGGAAGCTGGTATTTGATTTTGGTCAAATGTGCAATAGCATTCTATTGATTAATATATGATATAATTTTTCTGCCAATTTGGATGATCATGATTCTCTAGAAGTGGAATGTTGTCATGATCCCTGAATTAATGGTTTAGATTGTTAGGGTCCTTTCTAGGTTCATGTTTTGGTAGATGGGTGGATGACTTGGTTTTGATTATAGTAGTGGTTTCTTGCTCTTTCTTTTCCTACATGTCATGACTCTATCATTGCTCTGTGGCACTTTGTGCAGGTTTTGGTTGATAACGAGGATTTTCTGAAGGAGCTTCAAAAGGAAGAGTAATAATGGTTGAAAGAAAAACGTTTGTCATTTAGGTGATCTTTCAGTTTATAATTTCTTCTACTCTAAACTAGAATGAATAAAATAGTGTACTCTACATCCATAAAATAGTATTTTTATCCCAGTATGGTTGTCTGTGTAAAAGGGGTCATTGCTTGTAATGGAAAAATCTCGGGCTGAGTGTGAAAATGCGGGTACAAGTCTGGCATTATAGCTGGGACCAAAATTGGGTAATGGCCCTTTTTTTTTCATGGTTGTCTGTGTAAAATGTTAAGTCTGTTGCATTTTATCAAAACAAAATGTTGGTATTGTTATAAGCTGCTAAGTACTATTTGATCTATGATAAATGATACTCCAACCTTTTAGAGAAGAAACATAGAAATTCCATAAACTAATGAGGATTATATCTCAGAACACACCTGTGAACTTGAGCCATAGATCCTGTATCTGTTGTTTTGTGCTGGATGCTATGCCTATACTGAACCATTATGATGGTGAGACTATTCAGTATTCACAGATGACGATCTTCAGTTCCCTGAGAACATAAACAGGACTAGAAAATTCTACGAGGATTATGCACATGGCCTAATTGCTAGTTCCAGTCTGGACCTGATAGTGTTGGTGTTGGTTTCTGAAACCATGTCAACTGGTGAAAACCCCATGCCTTGATGCAGAAAAGTTGTGGTTAGATTTTGCTTTCCTGATACAGATTATTCCTGATCCTCCGTGGCTTCATCCGCTTTGCTCTTGGTGTTCCTCATACACTCACCGGATTAACTGCAAATCTGTTTATGTTCATTGACATGATTACCATGGAATTGTAGAGTATGGAGATGGGAGAGTCAAGATTACCCGATCAACATGATAACAATGCATCCGAAAGGTGATTTACTAGTCTGTTTGTGGTCATCGACAGTAGAGATGTTCCAGAATTAGACAATATATAAGACTTAATAGTTTGTTGTTAAGATTCAGGGGAAAAAATTGATGCCCATTCTTACATCTTACTATCAGCAATCGGCAGTCTATTCTATTTGCCATTATATAACTACATCGGCCCGCTTTGTAGTTGGAGATGCATCATGCATCAAGAAACAAGTCCTTTTCTATGGTAAACACGAATTTAATCACTAAAAAGGGGGAGAAGAATACCCAGTCAAGTTACAGCAAGTTGCTCAGCTATTGCAAAAAAGAAAAAATGATCATTTGAAAAAAAAAAAAACCGCATTACTACAATCTCCTACTCGCCAAAAAATGAGCATATGATACAGCTTTCCTTTAGAAATGTATCCAGGCCACACTGGTGAAACCCCTTTGCTGCTGAGCCTGACGGATATCACTGATGACGGGCCAGATTTCAGCAATAGGGGAACTTCTTTCAAAATGTTCACCAAAACTGAGCTGTCTGATTCAACACGGGAATGAGACAAGCCCAGATCTGCTGCTAACTTGAGCCCCATCACAACTGCCAGAGGCCCAGAGCTTCCGAGAAAAGGGGTGACCGGGGGATATCTGATCTAGACCTAGCTGCCAAAAAGTTTTCCATCTGCTTTATAAATAACATAGCCATAACCTTCATAAGACGAGTCTGAGAATGCACCATCACTTCCATTGTCAAGAGATGTGTGGGTTGGTCGCCCATCTCAAAACAAGGGTTTCTCAGATAGCAAAAGGACAAGTTTCAGTATCTGGATAATAAGGTATTTGAAATTAGGCTGATATTAAGTACTAACACAACAAAGGCTTTAAATCACATCCCAAAAACAAAATACGTGACACCCACGTAATTCTGTGTTTACTCTCTTGTGTTTTAAACGGGGCTCTCGTGTAGTGTACTCTAATCCTAATCGAATCCGTTAAATTTTCAAACTTAAATCACATATTGGATTTCGATGTATTGCTGTATTGCATTTGCATACCATTAATCTTTTTTTTTTTTTTGATAATTAGTTTGGATATATGTTCAAACAGAGCTGTTACCTGGTGGGCTGGTCCCTACATCCCGACTTTCTCAGGCCTGTACTGGGCATACCATTAATAAATTAAACTAAAAATTATCAACATATTTTATATGCCTAACAAATGATTTCACTCTGGTATCATGTCTATACATCAGAGTTTTTTTTTTTTTTTTTTTGTGGAAATACATCATAGACTCGTTGTAAAGTTACTTAAATGAGATTTAAACATGCCACTCTTTAGTAAATGTACAAAGTTCAAAGTTTTTACAAATATAGATAGATACATACATGCATGGCTAAACATTGTCCGATTTGATTTCTGCACATAGATCCAATCTGGATTTTATTACCAAAAAAAATCCAATCTGGATCAACTGACTGGATAGGATTTGAATTTGGGCGAAAGGATACCTCTTACAAGTTACACTGTTTTATCACTAGCTGCAGCCCTTTATGACAGAAAATGAAAAATACAGTCAGGAACTCGGGATTATTTTGCAAAATCCCATATTTTCACGCTTTGTCACGTTAAGGGTTTTAGTATTATAGTTTGAGTTCGCATTCTGTGCACCCATGTGGACAAGTGAACCTGGCGAATCAGAGTCCATGTCGACCAGGAGGAGGAACACGTAATGTTAACGTTCCAAGTGCCGTTAGGCAGGTTCAGCGGTTCAACCGGCCGCAAAATGACAAAATAGAGATCAAAACCCATGACAAACCTCATTTTTGGCTTTCCCCTGGAGACCGAACCCTACCCACACACTGGTGACCATACAACAGTGAGTGACCCGAACCAGTGGCCATCAGCAGCGACGGCAAGATCTCCAGTGGTATGTTTCTCTCTTCCTCTTCTTCTTCTTCTCTTCTTCTCTTCTTCTTCATTAGATGCTCTGGCTTTGAATGCACATTTCTTTATATTGGCCGTAGACCTCTTCATGGCTGGGCTCGAATTTGGCTTTCGCCAAATACACAACACCAAATCTATTCAACTGAAGTTCATTTGAGTTCAGGTCTCTAATAAATAGTGTCACTTGGTGGTTAGAGATGATAGAAAATTTTTTAGAGATTCAAGATGATTGAGCATGCAAGGAAGAGATGGAAGATTCCCTAATTTTGGACCGTATTAGCAAGCACGAGTGTAGGACATGGTGTTGTTGCCTATGAATAAATCGGTTTTTGGAAGTTGGAACTAAGCGGAAGAATCAAAAAGAGATGTATTGGTGGTGGATTCGAGTTCATCCCATCGCCGCCGCCACTGATGCATTATCGGAATTATCAATGATGAACAAATAAAGGGCCAAAGGGGTGTGAAGTGTGAACTGTGAAGATATGGGGGCTTCGGTTAATACTGAATAGAGATGATCAGGGTGTCTTTCTTCAAAATTTCACCGTACCAACCGGTGATAGGTTATCTCACAGTATGAGGTTTGGCTCCGGTTGATGTCCAGTTGAACCATCGAATCCAAGTTGACGCACATTTAACCTTTCACGTATAAATGGTCGATATGGTCGACATGGTCGAATCCAATTGGTGGGTTCACTCGTCCGGTGCACAGAACGCGGACTCTTTTAGTTCATATTTACACAAGAAAGTAATCCAGAATGAAGCATGAATCGTCGAATTAACACATTACGCACTCATCATGTGTACAATTTTCAGGTATAGATGGACAAAGTTTTATTAATTTCTGGAATGATTTGGCATTCTCACTGCCTTTTCTGCAAAGCAAAGTTATACAATAGTTGCATGGTCTTGCTTCCTTGAAAAGCTTATATGAAGACAAAATACATTCCCAAACAACGGTTACTTTTTTATCTCCCTGATGTGATTTCACAGTCTGGGCAAAAAGAGCAAGATTTAATAGATAGTTTATGCTAGTTTATGCAAGACAAGTTCTACTCAAAAACCAAACGTCCACAAGCATGGATCACTCCAATAAGCTTGAACTTTTGAATTCTCCAAATCTGCATAGAAATGACACAAGTTGCAACGGAAGTTGACACCTACAAAGGTAGAATAGGAACTGCATCCAAGGCCTTAATCATCATCACACTACAGAAAATATCCAATGGCTTGTAAGCCACCTGTACCAAATTAAATGATGATGCCGATCAGCCATCAACATATCTTTTGAACTTTTGGTGTAATAATCAACTAAAACTTTTCTGCATATGTCAGACAGATCAACCACTGTAGACCAAAGGATCCACAATCAACCCACCAAACTTTTTGATATTGGTAATTCATAAGCTACCGAAAGTATGACATAAACACTATACCAACTAGGCAACTAGAGCTCATTCGCCTTTGCAACATAACTCCATCAGAATGCAGAACAAAGACAAATGTTGATCCTGTGGTAGGATAATTGCTCCTACTCAGTTCTCAAATCCAACTAGTTCTCGTCCACCACTGGCTAGCTTGACCAGTGTCTGACATATAAGAAGCAAAAGGATATGATGCTTTTTCTTGCAAGTTTTCCAAACTAAAATGATATGGGAGGGCAGAATCCAATGAGGGACATCTATAGAAACGTATCCATAGGATAGGAACCCAAGACCCGGAGGAATGTTGCAAACTCCTGCACACAAACACCATTTACATAGAAAAACATTGTCAAATATAACAAGGTCTAAGCAGATTAGCAGAAACTGTGATATCCCTGCATAACAAGGGAATTAAATGCACATCTAATTATTGACTAAAGAACGAGTATCAACTATCAAGTAAAGCAAGCCATATCTTGCAAGGGCTATTAGCACTGACGGTTTTGCCTGAGATGACACAAATTTAAGTAGGAAATAGTTTGGCAATGAAGAGCCAACATGAAAGGGAAACAGCTTTCGAGAAGATGTTTGCAATGAATGAACAGCACCATTAAAGTTTACAACACATTGTACATCATGACCAATCAAATCGAACCTGACTGGGAAAATTTTGTATCCTTTAACAAAATGAAGAAGACAACGCCTTTAATGAGACATGAACAGAAACTGGTTATATTTTTATCCTCTTTTCTTTTAATAGATAATCAGTCACTCTATCTTGATAAAATTTCCTGCTTATAAACAACCCTATCATGGGACTTGTCAGAAATCCATTTTTATCATTCCCTTCTGTCCTTATTTAGAAGATTTTATACCAAACATAATTAGAAAATAGCTTATTCAAATATTGATGTGCCAAATGAGACTGTCTGAGGGTGGACTTTGGCGCAACAGTTGGGTTGTTCCATTGCGACCTGGGTGACCAGGGTTCAAATCTTGGAAACAGCCTCTCCGTATGTGCGGGTGTAAGGCTGCCTACATCTGTCCCCAGACCCCGCACTGGCGGGAGCCTCATGCACTGGGCTGCCCTTTTAAAAGAGATATGTCTCAAAAAGAATAATTACAAATTTATATATTTAATGCAAATAAGAAAGAATGTACCTGAAGATGTCCCAACGCATTTTGTGCACGAGGATCTGCCATAGAAGCTTCAAAATCAATGTAGAAAAGGTAGTCAAAATACCTGTCACCAGAAACAGTCAATCAGCATGGAGGGATCTAAACTAAAATGAAAAATTTAACTTCTCTTAAATCACAGAATAAGTCATTTCCTCCAAGGTTTAAAATGGGACAATGACGAGAAAATGACACACGGATCCTGGATCCCAGATAAAAGTGCATTTACAGTTGAAAATATTTTTTATGTTTTATACTGATGCGGTTCAGGAACACCAATTCTTATGAGTATATACATTGACCTTGTATGGGTACCAATTAAAAGTCAGATATTATCATATTTAATTTGAAAGGAAAAACAGTACTCACTTCGCACTCCCATCATTAGAGTCATCAACCACCCTCAACGGACGTTTTCTCTGTGGTCGGCTTTCAATCTGAAATCCCCATCAACCAAAAATAAAATAAAACAAGAAAAAGAAAAGCAACAAAAGTTAATGACTAAGATGCTTAACCAAAACAACAACAACAAAATCCAATCCAACTTTGTTATTAGGTACCTTTGTCAAGTTGATATTCCTCAGAGCAAAAACTGCCAAGGCTTTAAATAATATTCCTGGGCCTTCTTCTAAGGTGAAAACAATGCTAGTCTGGGGAAAATGACAAATAACTTGAAAGGTTAAAGAAACAACAATATAATCAGATCATACCAAAAAAAAAAAAAAAGAAAAGAAATGAATCCACCTTAAATAGCCTGTTAGTTCTTGGAATTATAGGATCCCTTGCAAGTATTAGAAATCGGGTAATATTGTCAGAATCATCCTGTCAAATTACATGGTATCAAAACAAGTGAAATAACATTCATACCATGCAGTAACAATCAAGCCAATTTCCTGCATCCACATTATGACAATAGAAACAGCCTACAGAATTAGACACCCCATAGAATTAAAAGTGCTGTCTCAAAAAGGTGCCCCTGACACATATGCCACAAACCAACAGTTAGGAAAACTCATAACTAATCTTTTCATTTTGTTTTATTTAGTCATTAGCAATATGCCTTATATATTGTCCAAGCAGAAGTTGCTACTTACTAGCTATCTATATAAACTAGTTTATACTTGGGGAACATTATCTTCCAATAATAGAATGTCAAAGTTCAGATATTGTCACATTACCTTAATCAGTATACAGATAACATTAAACAGGATTCATGAGCCCAACTTAATATAGTTGGGATAAGGGTCAAATTTAGCATGTGTAGACTTGTTAATCCAACCTCACATAGTTGGGTTAAGGCTTTGACAAGCTTAGTGTCATAAATGTACCTCTGCATGTCTAATAGTGGAGGTCTGGGATCAAGTCCTGCTTTCACTAAGGTTGGGAGAGGTTTAGGGGAGGAATTGTGGACCCTCATAATTTTTCACTACTTCAGCCCGTGTCCTTTTTGGCCTGTCCCTAGCTTTTCTAGAGCCTTTGCTAAGGAGAAATGGTTTGGTATTAATTGCAATTAATATTGAAAGATGAAACCTTCCACACTGCTCATAAAACCATGCACATGATTTTTTTTTAAATGGCCATAATAACCATTTAAGGAGTAAAATGACATATAAATCCTCTAAAATAGTTGTTTTTTTTTCTAGAACCAATTAGATTATAACTTGTATAACAAATTTCTCTTCAGAAAATATGTAACCTTGCCGCAACTTAAGTAACTTCAGTAAATTTAGGTATATGCATACATAAATATACACAATACATATATGTAATTCTAGATACCCTAAACTTAATGTGGGATGAAGTAATTAGTTGTATCCAGTATTATTGAATACAATTTTGTTCATTCCATTTAATAAGGTTTTCCTCCTGCATTTTGTAGCTTATGCAAACTCAATCACAATTGATTTACTTTCCAAATTTTGTATACAAATTTTCATCCAAGTAATTATATATCAAGTTCTATTATTTGGAACACGCTTGCACTCCCCTCTCTTTATATTTTGGCACCCCATTTTGCCTCACTATCTATTAATTGACAACTTTGATTTAAAGATACGTTTCAAGAAACTGGGTCATGAGGCCCTATATTAAAGGGATATATGTTTATGTACCAAAAATGTCTGAAATGCCATGTCTAACTATCAAAAAACTACAAGAACATTGAGCTCTTTCAAAGTTTCACATTGGGTGAAAACATTTGAGCTCTTTCAAAGTTTCTCAATTACTGATATAATAAGAGCGTGGAATGAAGTGGTACACTCTTCTGAGAAGAAAGAAATAAAGAAAGGTGATGGAGTGGAACAGGTCTCAACAAAGTCAAGCTGAATTTTGAAGGGAGCTCTACAGGAAACCCGAGTCTGGCAGGCATTAGTGGTGTGATCAGAGATTCCTCAAGCAAAGTATTGGCTATGTACTCAGGAGTCAGGACCTTTAGGGGAAGGTGATTCTTTAAAGGTTGAAGTATTAGCTTTGCTACAGGGGTTAAAACTTGCCAAGCAAGCAGATCTTAAGAACTTGGAGATAGAAAGGGACTCAAAAATAGTGATATCATGGATCAATTCAAGGGGTAATTAATGTAGGACCAGCTCAGTTCTAGTCCTTAGAGAATGTTGAATGGTCTTCTTGATCAAAGTTTTATGGTTGTTGATGGTTGTAATGGCTTCTTGAAGGAATAAAAGAGAAAATAGGGAGAGAAAGAAGAGAGAAAATACCTAGAATCACTCACTGGGTGCCTAGAATCACTCTAAGGCATGGGAATCACTCACCATAGCTAGAATAAGCTGAAGAAAACTCAATATATTTCATTGCCTTTGTGTAAAACGTCCATACATATCTATAGACTCTAAACTCATAATAATCCTACGAGTCAAACTGTTAGACTCGTAATAGTCTTAGGCTCATAATAGTCTTAGGAGTAAAACTGTTAGACTCAATAATCCTAGTAGGATTCAAACTAAGCTGTCGTATCCTATTTCAATTCAAAGAAGACTCAATAACTCTAATCCTACTTATGCAATGACTCTGAAATTTTAAACATAAACAAACTATAATTAGACAATTTAAACCTGTAGGTTTTCAAGACTGCTATTCAGTCTTGATCACTAAGAGATTTCAGGTTCGATGAGAAGAGAAAGTGAAGAAGATGTAGAAGAAAGAGTGATGGAAGAGCAATAGAACACAGATTTTGAGGAGAATAACAGAATGTCAATATTCTGCCGCCGCCACTTTAAGTTAATATATATAGGTTATGCTAGTTACATGAAAGGACATATCTGCCCTTGGTGTTTACATCATAACTGCTAACAAATAACAACCAATATAAAACTGAAACTAGAAATAACAGAACAACAAAATAACCACAGCTGTGACTAGATACATTCTACCCTACGGACAGAGTGGGACCACAGCTGTGGGGCCCACATCAATGTTCTCTACAAAACCCTATCATTGGACCCCACAAAAAATTGCAAAAATGACAAAAATACCCTTGGTATTCAATCCAGTACAAATCCCAAGTATCATCATTATGTCATATCAGGACCTGTTATAAGGCCTTCTTCTTTCTAGAGTAAGTCTTCAAAGGTGCTGATTGATTCCTATCATCTCTCCCTGACTTGAAAGAACTCGACCCGACGAGTTAAAACCTTTCATTAAGATCTGGGTTGAAACTATGAAAGTCTTTAGCAGTGATCCAAGAACTCTCAGACATAGGCTTGCCTTTCCACTTGACAAGGAATTTCTGATACCCTCCTGTAGCAGTAGATATTATGTCCTCATCTAAAACATCCTCTGGAATGTCATTTGGAGATGCAATAGTTGGCAATTTAGGTATAGGAGTCTTAAAAGAATCAACATGTCCATGGTAAGGAGTCAAGTCCTCAACACTGAAGATAGGACTAATTACCATGCCATCTTGCAACTCTAGGACATAGGCATTATGTTAAAAGAATTTAGTTGCTGATGTTAGGGTCTGTTTGGCTAATTAAAATGTTTTTTATTTCGTTTTTTCTTTCTGTTATGTCTGTTATTGTACTCAGGGGCACAAGGGTCTTTTCCCTTGTTATTTCTGCCGCCCTATATATATTAAAAAAAAGGCTGGCGCCGCCAGCACTGTTACATTGCAAAACCCTTCTTTCTTCTCCCCTCTCCTCTTCTCTTCTCTTCTCTTCCTCTTATTTCTGGCCGGCCATACTGTCAAGATGGTATCAGAGCGGGAATACTGATTAAAGAGAGCAGATCAAACAACCTTACCGAGAGAACAGATCGAACAAACTTGCTGAACCTGGGCGGAACAGAAATCTGATTCTGGACTGAAAAAACAGCTCTACAACTGGTACAGTTCTCCCTGTTTTCTCTTCTTTACCCTCCTTGGTCATGTGCCGAGTGAAAACCCTATGAGTCTGGGCGGCTGAATGCTGTCGAATCTGTATACCCCTGGTTTTTCTTGGATCGTGTGATCCTGTTCATGTGTTAAGACAACTGTAGGTCAAGGATGACCTGTCTTCTCAATGATTTGATTTGACTATAAGTAAGAAGGATCTCTCCTGCTGAATAGTGGCTGTTAGACATTCTGGAATTCTGGTAGGTTGGGACTATTAAAACTATACAGGTCTAAAATCTGCCGAATAGTACCACTGTTTTGTCTGGAATTTGGTACTGTTTGTGCTCAACCTGGTTGTTAAACCCGAGTGTGTGGGTGTGGACTGAGTGGAGCATTGTTTTGTGGATTAAGGAGGGGTCCTAAGTCCGATGTTT